AAGTAAAGTAAAGACGGTTAAGGAGCAAAGCACATTGTTTAATAAAACAAAGAAAGGCTGGCCATATGAATAATAAACATAATGTTTCAATAAAAAGCTTTTAAATTTCTATTATGTTAGTTAAAACTGTAATTATGAAGTTTTCTCTTTCTTACTTTACTTTTTAAACACTTGTATATGTACAACTATTTTGAGCTTTGTTTCAATGAGAAAAATCTTAACATTTTTCTTAGCTTTTTGCGACAATTTATCTTTTTCTTTGCCTTAATTCTTATCATGGTATTAGAGCAGAGAGATATACAAATAGGCCATCAACGTACTTCTTTCAATGCCTAGAGAATGTTCATCAACTATTAACAAAGTACATTCATTTTGAGTAGTTGATTCTTACTTTCTAGCTTTTATATCATCACCCAAGTTCTTTAAATCCTCATTAATATTATCTCTTGTTCTTTACCTTTCATTGTCTTTCATTAGCTGGTAAATCATGGTTGAAAATGTTGAATCTAGAACCCAAGCTAGTACACAAACTAACACATAGATTGCCTAGATTTCACTAATAGCATATCCTCAATCACTCTATTATTTACATCACATAGATAACCCAAGCTCAGTTCTTGTTAATCTCAAGCTGAATAAATTATATAGCATGGAGTAAGTCTGTTCTCTTAGTATTGTCCATCAGAAATAAGCCTAGTTTCATCAATGGTCCATACCCAAACCAGCAATCACGGATCCTCTTTATTTACTTTAGGCTCGATGCAATAATTTGATAGTAGCTTGGCTGTTAGATTCAATTTTTCAACCTATAGATTAAACTATTTTCTTCGTGGACTTAGCACGAGAAATTTGGAACACATTGAGGCAAAATTTTGCCCAACCTGATTATACTAGGATATGCAACTTACAATATACTCTAAGAAATGTGAGCCAAGGTACTAAGATAGTTGAATCATAGTTCATTGAGTTAAAAGAAATATGGGAGGAGTTGAAAAGCTACAGACTTTTGTCATATTGTAAGTGTGGAAATTACAACCCTAATTGCTTCAAGAAATATATAGACCAATATAAAAAAGACATGGTCTTCAGGTTCCTTAATGGATTAAATGAGTCCTTTTCAACTATTAGGTCACATATCAAACTGATGGACCCTATTCCAACCTTAAATAAAGTGTATAGTCTTGTGCTGAGGGAAGAAACACAAAAGAACCTATCAATTCAAGCATAACCAATTTTAGAATCTTCTGCCATGTTAGTTACAATCGATATAAAATAGAAACTGAGAAAGGAAATAATTTGCAACCAATGTGGAAATAAGGGACATTTTAAGGACAAATGTTACAAACTCATTGGGTTTCCAAAAAACCTTAAATTCACAAAAGTTAAACCAAACTTTCAAAACAGGAAAATTGTAGTTAACAATGTGGCCAATGTGTGTGATGCATTAGGATTAGAGGACTGTAAAGTTGAATAGAATGAGGAGATAGCTGGAGCTAGTTCCATGTCTCAAATATCTATCATAAAGAAGTAGGTCAATAAGCTAATAGAGCTATTAAATGAAAATGGCATACGCAACAATGATGGTAAGGGTATTTCATAAACCATTCAGTAAGGGGATCATTCACTAGTTAATTTACCCTATGTAGGTATTCTTTTAGGTCACTCTTCTTTCAATACATCAAATGCCTACTAAATTTAAAAATGCAAATATTCACTTGATAAGACAAAGTCATTGGATTATAGATTCTAGTGCCACTAATCATATATGTTATTCCTTAGATAGTTTTATACATGTTAAGGCCATCAAAGATTGTTTTGTTCAGTTGCCTAATGATAGAAAAGCCTTTATTTCTCATGTAGAAGTGGTTAAATTGAGTTCAACACTAGAAAATGTTCTCTGTGTACCAAGTTTCAAATTCAATTTCATTTTTGCATGTGGGTCAACTTACCAAGACTAAGAAAACTTATGTTCTCTTTACTGATATGTATTGTACTGTTCAAGACATCTCTCATGAATAGTGATTGGAGTTGCTAGGGCCTTCTCATGACTATTCTTGATGCAAGAAAACTCAAGTGACCAGGATCTTTTAAAGTTCTGTTTTGACAAACTCATCAAATTTCCTTTTACTTCCTTTGTTAATGCTTGTAATATAGTAGATGAATGTTTTGATTTTTTGTATTTTAAACTAGGACATGCTTCATTGGAAAGGATAAATGTTATTCAAAAACAATTTTCAAATGTTAAATTTTCGAATGATTTGCTTTGTGAAATCTGTTCAATAACTTCTATTAATTATTTATTTAATTAATTAATATAATTTATCATTTTAAAAATATAATGATGTCAATTTTTTTTGTTTATTATTGAGCTTAGAACTACCATGGAAAACAAAAAAAAAGCAATAATCAATAGGTAATCATTTTCATAAAATAGAAAAAGAAAAAAAAAAGATGAACCTTTTTGCGTGTTGAATTTTTTAAATGCCGATAAAGGGCCCCGTATGATCGTCAGAGGGTTTGGGCTTAGAAAAAGGGTCAAAGAAGGCCCATAAAAATGTCAGAGGGCTTGGGCTGTTTTGGCCTGTTCATTTTTCTTTTGAACCCCAATTTTGAACTTTATCTTACTTTCTGTATGAATAGTGATATCGCCAAAGGGCTCAACTTGCAAGCAGTGGGCTTCTTTTTGGACCCAATTATAAAATCTGAGGGTCAAGAATGACCTTGCATAATATACGAATATTGTTACTAAATTTCAAAAAAGGAAAAAAAAAAGGTTGGGATGGGGGGGAACAATCTACTAAATAAAAAGAGATTCTCTTGGTGAAAAAATGGCCATTGGTCCGGAAAGAATATCTACTATAATTCAGCCACTGTTGGGGCACATTTAAGTGGTTAATTAGTTAGTAGAATTGTCATGGACCATTGCTGTCAGCTTCAAGTTGATGTGATGACTATCCACGAAGTTTTGTCATTTTGTACAACATCCAAAAAGCAAATTCGAAGATTAGGGAGGGAATCTCAACACATGGCCAAGGAATATATCATGTTTCCATTGCAAAATGGAATACTTAATAGCATTTTAGATCCTAATAAACCTGCCAAGCATGTCAACATATTTCCCATTTGAAAGCAACTATTTTCTTTAATTTTATTGCGGAATAAACCTGTCACCCACAAGCGTGAGGAATCCATCTTATCCCGGAAGGACAATGGTCCTACCACCCACAAGCCATGGGCATCTTGCCTTTAATTCTTCTATATGTAGCCATATCGGCTAAATCTCTATTTCTAATATCTTAGCCTAAAATTACAAGATCATTAAGCATGAAGCCTCAAAGCCTCTCCGGTGACAATTCTCTGGTCGGTGAATCAGAGAAAAGGATCTGGCCGGAAAGGTTGAAGCAAATGTGTCAGGCGGCCATGGATGCCATGGATCCAAGTGTGGTTCAAAGAGGGTATAGGATTCCGATTGCCAAAGTAGTGGAGAGACGAAGTTGGAGGTGCTCAACCGAAGACCCCATTAGAACCATGATGTTCTTGGGTTCTTGGAGCCACACCTAGCAAAGGTTTGGCTCTCTGTTGAGTGGCAGGTGTTTGATGAAATTATCGTAAACTATTTGTGCTTTATTATTTATTACATTGCTAGACCAAAAACATCAGGACAGTCGACACCAACTGCAGATTACTTGCTCATTTGGTTGATGAAACATATGTATGATTGGTAGAAGTAATAATAATGTCGAATTATGTAATTAGTCTTTATATTTTATTAAAGGGGTGGATTTAGTATTTATATAATAATTTGTAAAAATTGAGTTATGTTTTTTTAAATTGACAATATTAGTTCAAAATGTTAAAATGTTTTTGTTATATATATTGATATGATATTTGATTGTATTGATGTGATATTTTTTTACTAATGTTACATCGAAGCTAATGTCATAGTAACGATGAAATGACATTTCATGAATGATACAATAATAGTAAACATTGATGTAAAATTTATATCAGTGGATATATGAAATTATCTAATATAAGTTAATGGTTTTAAACAATATTGAAAAAAATATATTAAAAATATAAATAGATTTATGAGATTTATGAATAAAGTGTTGTGAGATAAAAAAGAATTGAATTTTTATACTCCATAATTTAAAATAAAAAAAGAATATTGTGAAATAAATAAATAATGTCATATCATCATTAGCACACCATCATATTTAATACCACATCAGTAAAAAAAATATCATACCAATATAAATATTAAAAATTTTTTAATATTGTTAACAATTGAGCTAATAATGTTAATTTTAGAAAGTATAAGGATTTTGATAAAGTACAATGACTAATTTCATAACTTAACCTAATAATAAAAAAAGGGAGATAAACTATATTGTTAATTATGTTTAGTATGACAAAGAAATGAAGTGACTTAATTATACTCTTGGTGTCCTCAAATTATTTTGCAAATTCTTATTCTTTTGAGAAGAAAAGAAATGGAGAGGAGAGAAGGAATTTTTATTTCAATTCTAGTGCTATATATCTATAAAATTCTTAACAAAAGAAAATGTCAAGGCCCTATCTTAAAAAAGTATTAATTTTCTCGACGATGGTTATGTGAAAATTTAACCTTAGTAATCTTATTGTTCTAAGTTCCGCAGAAAAACATGATTGCAAAATAGCAAATTCCTATGCAAAAGCCCTAAATGCGTCCCTTAAGATGAGCATAGTTTCATTATTTGGAGATTGATCAAATTGAATTTAAGGGCTTACTAAATTTCAATACCATGTGAATTTAGGTTATCTTTTTACGCAAAAGAATAGCGTCAGATATCAGATTACGTGCTTTCCAACAACCCATCTTCTGGCCCAAAAAAGAATCCAAGGTCCACCCAACTTTGCTATCCTTAAAATTTCCAAAGAGTTGGAGAGCGGGCGGGCGGGCGGGCGGGTCATCCTCCAGCCCGAGAGACAATCCAAAATGCCAAGTGTCAGCAGCTGCCGCACCTTAACCCGAGTGCCTGCGTTGAAGTGGCTGCAACTCTTCTACGAATCGTCGTCTCCGTGCCAATCATACACCGCTCTTCTCCTCCGCAGTCTATCACCCAAATGGCTTCGTCATCTGATGACAAAGCCACCATTATCGACGGCAAAGCCATCGCTCAAACTATCAGATCCGAAATCGCCGACGAGGTGCGCCACCTCTCCCAAAAATACGGCAAGGTAAGTTACCTCCCTGATTCCCCTTTTTCCTCATTTCACTATAAACTATTAGTGTTTGATTTTGATTTGGCAAAGGATCAATCGTTCCATACCATTTATGGGTAGATTGGGAAATTTGATATTCTTCTAACCAGGTGCCAGGCCTAGCCGTGGTAATTGTTGGGAGCAGAAAAGATTCTCAAAGCTATGTGGGCATGAAAAGAAAAGCGTGTGCTGAAGTTGGGATTAAGTCTTTTGATGTGGACCTCCCGGAGGAAGTACCCGAAGCCGAGTTGATCAGCAAGGTTCACGAGTTGAATGCAAATCCGGATGTACATGGTTGGTTAATGTTTCCAGCTTTATATTAACGAAGATTATGGAACCTGGAGATTACTTTTAAATTTCATGAATAAAGAAAAAGCAGCATGTTTTATAGCTGGGAAGTGTAAAAATCTTAGCGTTCATTATAGCTCAATTGTTTATATGGAGGTTTCCATTCTTTGTTTTTAATTTTTATTTTTGTTACATTAATAGGTATATTGGTTCAGCTCCCCTTACCAAAGCATATAAATGAAGAGAAAGTTTTGAGTGCAATTAGCCTTGGGAAAGATGTGGATGGTTTTCATCCTCTGAATATTGGCAAACTTGCAATGAAAGGCCGAGAACCCCTTTTCCGGCCTTGTACTCCCAAGGCAATATTCCCATGCTTTCCAATTTGTTCTAATGATTTGTCTAATACTTTTGCTAAGATGTTTTTCCTTTTCCCCTCTTTTTTCTTCAGGGATGCCTTGAACTGCTAGCACGCAGTGGTATAAGCATAAAGGGAAAAAATGCTGTTGTTGTCGGTCGAAGTAACATAGTTGGATTGCCTGTTTCATTGCTGCTGCTGAAGGCAGATGCTACTGTTATCATTGTTCATTCACGTACACCAGATCCGGAAAGGCTAATTCGTGAAGCTGACATTATAATTGCTGCAGCAGGACAGGCTATGATGGTAACTATATATCTTTGCCTTTTAACTGCACTAACCTTATGCTGCTCTAGCCTAGCATATTTCATCCTTGTTTTTGCTTCTTCCAAAAAGTTTTAGCAGTCAGGTTTAGGTACAACTTGATTGTGCTAAGTAAGGTGTTGGTCCTGTTGGATTATGACATGATTGTGAAATACAAGAAAATACTTTACCTGAAGGGATACACAACCTCAAATGTGCATAATATGACCCTGCTTGAATGTATTCATCTTGAAAGAAAAGGAAAAAGGAAGAGACCTTAATGTTGTCTAGTTTGCTGCAGATCAGAGAATTGATCCTCAATTTCTCTGTTTAGGTCTTCATCAGTTATGTTATTTTGAGTTGCTTGTAGAATAATGCTACTTTGGTTGTTTTGTACAGTTCATGGTTTGTACAATTTTAATTTTCCTATTTAACTTTCAGATCAAAGGCAGTTGGATCAAACCTGGTGCTGCAGTTATTGATGTTGGGACTAATGCTGTTGATGACCCAAGTAAGAAGTCAGGATATAGGTTAGTGGGAGATGTGGATTTCCACGAAGCATGTAAGGTGGCTGGATGGATAACTCCTGTTCCTGGTGGTGTGGGCCCAATGACCGTTGCAATGCTGCTCAGGAATACGTTAGATGGAGCAAAGCGTGTGATTGAGCAGTGACTGGTGAGGTTCTCTCATCTCATTGTTGTGTACTTCATAATAAGATTTGCTCAGTTTGAACCTCTGAGCCAGATCTCTGATTTCATAGGAAAAAAAAAAAATCTTATTGCTAGTATAGAGGTATCGTTGTCTCCCTGCCATGCTTGAAGTGTGGTATATTTGTTATTTATTGCCAAATTCTGAAAACAAGTTGAAATGCAATGTCAAGTACTTTACAGAGCAGGTTTCATATGGTTTTACTTTAGGTTTTTGCCGAAATGGTTTGTCTTTCATTGTAGTTATTAAGTTAGATTAAAGTATAGTGAACATATTCATCAAAAAAGCAGTACTTGCGTGTCGGGGGTCATTCTTTTACTAACAAGTTCAGGCCTCACAATAGCCTATTATGTGAATATTATTATACTTATTATCCCAATATGCTGAAAGACCTTTGGAATCATGCTCAACTTCAAGCAGCCTTAAAAGAATTACGTAATGCATGTCTGCAGCCCGACAGAAAGCCAATTACCTGGAAAATAAATCTGCGTTTTTTCTATACTTTTTAGTTAACTGAGTTGGCCTTAATCGGACCTTCTGTACAATCGTATTTAAGCTACTTTAAGACTTAGGATTTATCTATATCATGTTTAACCATAGTCACCATTTCTTTCTATAATATGTTAAGCTTTTCGTGACATAAGTTTATTTGCTCCACCATAATTATATCTATCTCAAGTCTCAGCTTAAAGCAGTTTTTTATATGAGCTTTTGTTGAAATCTAGTCGCCTATGCTTGGGAGGAGTACTTGAAGCAATTTCAACATGAAATCTAGTAGCCATGCGATTTCTAGTAAAGATATAAAAGGGAAGGATGAAGAGAACTCGATATGATAAGGAAGGATGTTAGAGAAGCCAGGGGAGCAATGGCCAACCCTACCCTCCACCTGCGTCCAATAACCATAGATCTACTTGTTGTACTATTTGAAAACGTGAGCAAACGTTATCCTCAACGTACATGCAATTAACGTGGCGTAATGTCTAATTCTTTACCTCTCTTTAGCATGCATATATATATATGACAAGTAGTCTATCAAAGGAACAAACCTTTCCCTCATCAACTCATTTGGAATCTAGTACAAGCTGGTTTGATTAATTAAATCAAATAGAATGGTTAGTCAGTGCTGCTTGCACGCCTCCCCTGCTGCTTCTTACATTGGAATCCATCAAGGTTATGGGGCAAATTCCTACTAAATGCAGACCAATCGCAGAGGCCGATGTAGAGTGAATGCAATTAGCTCTCAACTTCCTGCTCTTGGAGGCAGAATTTTTCTCATTCAAATTCAAAGTAAAGCAAAACAAATTTTAGAGCAAAATTGGTTTCTTTTTTTAATCTTTTCAAGCACGTAAGTTTTTCTTCGTTTTGTAATTTCTTGTCTGATTTTTTTTATTTTTTCAAAAAAATTTGAATTTCTCGTATTGAATTTTTCTTACTTATTGCCCATTTTTTATGATTTCATTGATTTAGATGTTCTATTTCCTTCTCATGTTCAGAGCTCCATCTTCAAGTTATTCAAGATGAGGCTATTCCCAATATTGAGGTTGTTCCCAACATAGAGGTTATTCTTGTCGTTGAAGTCGCACTTGATGTTGAAGTTGATACGAGAGCTATTCTTAATATTGTCATTGATACTGTTGGAGCAACTTTGAATATTGAGGTTGTTCTTAATGTTGTAGTTGTTACTCATGATGCTAAAGTTACTCCGATTAATTTTTGTGTTTTTCCCTTCTCAGTGCCAGCACACAAAAATGCCAATAATGATTCTAGTACTCAAGTAGCATGTAATGAACAAAGTGGTAAGAAAGTCGACTTTCATAGTTTTCAAATTTCTTTAGAATAAGTGGAATACTTAGAGCAAATTTTCAATGTAGAAGGAGAATTTTGGAGTACCTTTTTTGTGAAGAACATGGATGTCATTTGTTTAATGATGGAAGTGTTGAGTAGAGCTCTAGTCATTTTCCATGCTCTATTAATGAGTACTTCATCAGAGGAATTGCAACAGATGTTACAAGATTTTATGATGCTTGTAACATTGGATTCAAAATTGACTGCCTTAGTAATTGTAAATCTAAAGCCAAAGCTTTTCTCAACAAATCTTTTTTGGAAAAAGAGTTATAAGTCATTGCAACAAAAATAGTTTTACTGAGAAAGCGTGAAGCCAAAGTGCAAGAACAATTAGATATCTTTGCCAATATTAAGAATAGTAACTCTTCTCTATGGAGTATATAGTTGGCTAAGCTTTTGTTTCTCTTATACTTTTTTTGAAAACTCATTTGAGCTAGTAGTTTGCTATTAGTATATCATATCTTTTTTTTTCTTTTTGCAATAATAATAATATCATATGCATATTGCGTACTTTTTCCTATTTCGCATTATTGTATGTGGTCAAAAGGGAATTCTCAACTTTACATTAAGAAGATTAACTCTAACCTGATGTGAAGGAGATTAATTCAACCTTTAAAATAATTAAGCATAATAATTGCGATCAATTGTGAGTAATAGGCTATGGATAAGAAATGAGCGATAAAGTTTGCGACTAATAGCATAACATCATAACAATCAAATTATGAGTGGTAAAGTTAGTGATTGGAATATGAATGATAAATGATGGCCAAAGAATGAGCGATAAAGCTTGCGACCAATAGAAAAATAACATTGCAGCTAAAATATGAGTGGTAAAGCTTGTGGTTGAACTAAGAGCAATGAACAATGGTAAAAGAATGAGCAATAAAGTTTGCAACCAATAATATAATATAATTACAATCAAAATATAAACGATAAAGCTAGTAGCTGAATATGAATTTTTTTTTAAATGTTAAATTGCAATTCATAAAGCAACAAAGGGTCAAAGTCATAGAAATAGCATACATGAGCTGGAAGCGAGTTGTTTCGAACCTTATTATTCTCAATCAGTAATTCTCTTACTTGCACCTTTTTGTGGAATATTCTACAAAAGCTTCTACATTTAAGAAGTGATAATGGAACTGTCAATCTATTCCGATAACACAAATTTTTTAGTAAGATTTTACTTAATGCAATCACTTCTCCCTAGTGGAGTCACAAAAATGTAAAAAAGGTTCTTGTAATAGGGAGAGGAAGCATTACAAACAAGTAAAAGGATATGTCGGAGGCGACGAAGAGGAAGATTAACTTTGAAGTCAGTTAATCGAATTAACTAACTTTGAAATAAGTATATAAGGGCTTTTATTATATGTATACACTCACAAAGTTTTTTTATAGATATATATGAATGAAGGGTTAGATTTAATCATCAAGAAGGATTTTCTTACATGTATTAATTGACACATTTTTTCTATACTTGTGTGTGTGTGTGTATATATAAATATATATATATATATATGAATAAATGATTTAGATTTAATCATTGAAAAATAAAAAATAAAATACACTTCATTTAGATATTAATATTATTAAATATTTATATAAATAAAATCATACAAAAATTAATGTAAAATTAAAGAAAAATATAATGAAAACTATACATTAACCTTAAGTTATGAATATAACCTATTATATTAACTTATATTTATATTAAGTTATTAATATATTATACTATATGTAGTATATTTAGTAACATACAATATGTAGTCTATACTATATAGAGTATAGGCTATAGTAACTTATTTTTGATAAATTATTAATAAACTATAGTAGTATAGTATAACATATCTTATATTAATAATTAACTATATTATAATATAAAACAATATATTATGTATATATGTAGTATACTTATCAATATACTAATTAGTTAACAACAATTTACTATTATATATAATAATGTCCTTTTATATAGCATATATATTATATGGCTTCTTTGTATACTTATATACTATATAAGTATATATTAACTATCTATAGTAATATATTAATACACTATACATAGTATACTAATTAATCAATGTATAGTATAACAAGTATATTATATACTATACTTATTAATATATACTAATTAGTCAAAAACTATATATTAACAATATACTATATTATTATATTAGGAAATTTGTAAATAATAATGTAATATGTAGTAACATAAAGTATATTATTAAATAAATTAAAAAAAAGATAAAAAAAATTAGTTAAATTAGTTAAAACCGATTTATCTTACTAAAGTACGTTAAAGTCTTAAGCCAGTTTGGTTCAACTAATTTTTTAAGAAAAGTCGGTTAAGTCCATTAATGATATTCTTTGTTAATTGCATGCTCATCCTTAACTAGCGACAATTGAGCACTAACAATACCGACAAAAATTGATGAAAATTGCTAACAAAATAATCCGTCGATTAAACAAAAGTGGGCATGAATAGTAAAATGACGAAAAGTTTGCCAACAAAAGTTATGGATGATAATGTGGTTAGTTGCTTAAAATATTTGTTACCGATGGATTGTTTGCTGGAACCACAAACGAGAATTTCGTCGATAAGCCAAATTTAAACCCTTGAACGGATCATTTTCCCCCTCATCGACGAGAATTTCTGTCAGTACACCATGGCTTGGGGAAGAAGGAGAGGGGAGCTATGAGCCCTCTCAATTAATAAAACCCCTCAAGCGGTTCTTTTTCCCCTATTTTTCTATTTTCTTTTCTCTTATCCTCTCTACCTTTCTTGTCACCCCACCCCATACTCGACCTCCACCAGCAAATGTGTCGATTGAAGTGCACTAGAGCACTGCCGACAGCAAACCTAGACCCTCCACTAGTTGCTTGTTATTTCTCCCACTATTTGATTGCTCGATCCCTCTGCCCGTTTGATTCCCTAACCTCCGGTCGATGTCTTGCTCTTCATTGTTGCTCTAGTCGGTAAGATTTATCTAGTACATATTTGAAGCTTATTCTTGTATTTTAAAGTTATTTATTGGAGTATGAATATTTTTAAGTCTAGCCATATAGTTATCAAACTTTGGTGAGTTGGTAACAAATATAAGCTGTTGTTGCCCCCATTGTGTGGGCTCTTGTTGGGAATTTATGAAATTGTTGCTACCCAAATATTGTAGATTTTCTGGTTAATATGTGAAATTGTAGTTGCTGTTTGTGAGAAATTATTATTATTATTTGATTTTTTTTGTTGAAAAATCTATTGTTGTTTTGAATAATTTGTTTTGATGAAAAATCTAAAAATAATTTAAATAATTATTAGTAATTATGCAAAATAATTTATGGTTTAGTTGTTAATCAATTGGAAAAATATTTTGGTTAATTAAGCATTTAACTAAATTAGTAATAGCATTTAATTTAAAATATATTTAAATTAATTAAGGTGTTAACAGTGACGAATCTAGGATCCTGTATTAGGGATGGCTAAAGAGCAATCAAGGTTATGGTTGGGTCAATGATTTGATTCGGAACAAAAAAAATTAATCACTTTTAAAAAAAATTAAATTATAACATAAAATTTTGTTAACTATTTAAATATAAGTTTTAAACCCTAAGAAAAAAAAGTAAAATAGAAAAAAGAAAAAAAACTAAATCTATAAGGAAAAAAAATAAAATATAAAAAAAGAAATAAAAACTAAATCTATGTCAATAGTGTTGGCAATCTCTTTCTCAAATAATTTTAGAAAAAATAAAAAAAAAAGGGAAAACAAGTTTTAAATCCCAAGAAAAAACGAAAAGGAAAAAAGGGAGCAAATAATTGTAAAAAAGGAAAAAAGAGAAAAAAATAATTTTAAAATTTAGGCTTAAAAGGTATTGAACCTAGGTCCTTTAAAATTTAGCTAAATAGACTTATAACTATTCCAAACTAATATATTTTATTTGTTTAAGGGTGGCAAAGCTATACATTCGCTATTTTATAGACATAAAAACAAAAAAAAATTAAAAACTGCCACTCTTTTACTTCCGTCACTAGGTGTTAATGAGCTAATTAAATAATTTAGTTAACAAAGAATTATGTAATGTATTATAAGTAATTAAGAAATAACTTAACAAAATAATATTAGATAATATTTTATGTATTTAAATTAATTAAGGGTTTAGGGAAATAATTACTTAATTTAACTAATTATGAATAATTTTGTATTGGTAATTAAGCAATTAACAAAATTAGTAATATTATATGATTTTAAAAATTTAAATAAATTAAAATGTTAATTAATGAGTTAATTAAATAATTTATTTAATTAAGTAATATAATTTGTTGTAGGTATAAAGCAATTACATGTGTTATAAGTTAGATTTTATTGTTCATTGATATTTATGTTAACATTTGCTAACGTATAATTTAATTATATAATTAAATTTAACGTTTAGTTATATAAATTAGTTAACTAAATTAGTAATATTATTTAATTTTAAAAATATTTAGGGT